ACCGTTACACCCCTATGAGTCACATATTGAAGTTGGGCAGTTAAAAGAAATAGTCTCTGATTCATGATCAGGGAGGGAGACAATCCTCCTTATTTTCCCTCCTTGTGTCTCTCGCACCATACTGAATGTCTGTGTGGTGATCGGATACAACCTGTCCTTGTCGCTAGGCACTGATTTGCCCGTTGGTGTTGTTTTGCCCTCAGGGTCTGGGCCCTGAGTGGTCAAGTCGTCTGCGCTCTTAGGTAAGAGCACCTTATTTTCTCCCTCAGAGGGGCGAGAGCCCTCGCCACCTGTCGTTGGGATTTTCACAGCTTCATCTAGCAGGGCGTCCTTGGCCAGGTATAGTAAACCCAGAATGACGATGATGATGACTGCCTTCACACGCCAGCATCCGGTAGAGGAGAAAGACGACATCTGGAGGCGTGAATCCACTTCTTCTTCTTGTCTGCTGGCATATCATGCATCTATCTACAAGAGTCTGTGTAGCTAGTGTGATGCCTGGAGCAAACCATTGTGACTTTATAATCCCATTCATCCCTCCTTTTCCTACATGTGATTTGCCATGTGCAACATGTGCCAAAACATGGAGGAACGAACGGGGACAAACCATCCGTCCGTCTGGGTGGAGCCACAAGCTGGACTCAGCGTCAAGTGTACAACCTCGTCTTAGCCATACATCTTTCTCCCTAACATCAGCGCGGGCTTGCATGTCCGCGACATCATTAAAGGAAGGCAAACAAATGGGTTCTGCGGGTTGTGTTGAGGGGCATTGGAGCACCATAGAAGAGCAGGAAACTGCTGCTTGTTTAGCCGCGGTGTCGGCTAACGCATTTCCATGTGAAATAGGATCATCAGAATTTGTGTGAGCAGCACATTTAACTACTGCTAGCTGTGCAGGGAGCATGATAGCGTCTAATAGCTCAGTTACTAACGCATGATGTTGAATAGGCTTACCAGCCGATGTTAAGAAACCGCGCATTTTCCACAAGACACCAAAATCATGGCACACACCAAATGCATACCTGTAGTCTGTGAAAATGGTTGCAACTTTACCTTTAGCCAAAATACACGCCCTAAGCAGAGCATACAACTCTGCAGCCTGAGCTGACGTGCCATTTGGCAAGGCCCGGCTTTCTAAGACTTCCCAGTCGTTCACAACAGCATAGCCTGCTAAGTGTACTGTGTCAGACGGCCTGCTCGCAGACCCGTCTGTGTATAGAATCATATCTGAATTAGGGATAGGAGTTTGCAACATATCAGCTCTGGGGGAGGAAGACATGTCAATCGTTGTGACGCAGTCATGTGTTATTTCAAAATCCGGAATTGGCACCAGCGTAGCTGGGTTTAGGGGGGGGGAGCGTTTAAGAGTGATGTGTGGGCTTGAAAGAATTACCGCTTCATAACCAGATCGCCTTGCTGCCGTCATATGCTGAGTAGCAGAGGTGTTCAGAATATGCAAAACTGCATGTGGGACATGTACTACACAGTCACTGGCCAGTACAATGGGAGAGGATTGTTTGACAACTATTGCAACTGCGGCTACTGCACGCAGGCATGAAGGCATACCAAGTACCACAGGGGAGAGTCGAGATGAGTAGTATGCAACAGGCCGGAAATTAGAGCCATGCTTCTGTACCAAGATGCCCGTTGCAAAGCCCCCCTTCTCATGGACGTGTAGATGAAAAGGTTGATGGTAATCAGGGAGCCCCAGGGCAGGAGCCGATGTGAGGGCCTGCTTTAAGTCCTGAAAAGCTCTGTGCATGTCCTCAGACCATTGAACAATGTTAAGGGCGGCCTGCAGAGTGGCAGCACGCAGGACGGAGTCCATGGCAGCGTACTCGTATATCCAATGTCTGCAGTAGTTTGCCATGCCCAAGAAATAAAGCATTTCCTTCTTTGTGTGAGGTGGTGCCACTTTGTTCAAAAGGCAAATCCTTGCTGGCGAGAGGAGGCGGTGTCCATCCCTCAGAATGTGACCCAGATACGTGACCTCAGTCTGGCAGTACTGCAACTTAGCCAGGGATGCTCTGTGCCCGCATTCAGAAAGTCTTTTCATGAGCAGAATGGAGTCGATGTGACAGGCATCCATGTTGGGGGAAGCTAACAACAGGTCATCTGCGTACTGAAGCAAGGTACTACCTCCTGTAAGGACCAAAGTGTCCAGATCTCTCTTAACAGCTGCTGCGTACACAGTAGGCGATTCAACAAACCCCTGTGGGAGGCGCGTGTATGTGATTTGTTTACGTTTAAAAGTAAATGCAAACAGATACTGGCTGTCTGGATGCAGAGGAACAGAGAAAAACGCTGAACATAAGTCAATCACTGTGTAGTACTTAGAGTCTGGGGGCAGAGAAGCAAGGATCGAATTAGTATCAGGCACTATAGGAGCTGTCGGAATGACAATAGCGTTAATAGCTTGCAAATCTTGGAGAAAACGCCACTCATCAGGGCGATTGTGCTTAGGTATGGGTAGAATTGGAGTATTACACGGACTGGTCGTGTAGATTAATATGCCCTGATCGAGCAGAGATTGGATGACTCCTTCAATTCCCAAAATGGCTCTATGGGGTAAATTGTACTGTCTGATAGCTGGCAATCTGGCATTGGCTTTAAGTGTCACTCTGTGTGGAGGGGCTGAACTAACAAATCCCACATGATTCTTGTGCTTGGCCCATAATGTGGCTGGAACCTCAGAGAAGTCCGAAGGGGGTCCATATTCTGTGAGAGGAAGTGGTTGTAAGTGGAGGAATGTGCTTTGGGGGAGAGAAATGGGCTCAGAGAGACGCAGCATCAGTGGCGACTGGTCATTAGGGGCAGGTGGGGCACAGCCCCACCTAGTGTCAGCAGAAAGTATTAAAAGTAAGGATTACAAAAAAATGCAAAGAATAAATTAAAAAATATATAAAATATATTTTAAGATCATGTTTATTCATCTGATTCGTCTGTACATTGCTGTTTTAGTCTGTGTTCTTCTAATTAGTGTCTACAGTGTGTGCCTATTGAGCTGTTTAGAGCCATGTGGGACAAAACCCGATCCTGCCCCTCCCTCTCCCTGTTTAAGTCAATGGTGACTGTAAAAACTACACTGCGCATGCTCAGAGTATTGTCCTATTTAATGTGTGTGGCAAAAAAATAATGACCATAGGGGCATAGTACTGCCATCCCCACCATACGTCATCTCACATAATTCAGAGCTGATTGGCTGTAAGTACGTGTGCCGTGAAAAGTGTGGTGTGTGAAGAGGAGGAGAGAGAGCTGCAGTGAGGCGTCCTAAAACCCGGAAATAAACTGCGCATGGCTTCCCTCCACAAAAAAGCAATGATATTTCTCCATAGGATTTTAGAAAATAGCTCAAAATAAGATCTGTGGGAAACAAACCTGTTAGATAAATGCACGTTTTGTTCAGCCGGATAATATCCACATGTCTACCCTACTTTTATAATTTTCGAATCATAAATCTATTGATTAGATCAGATTTATGATAGACTTTTGAAACTACAAGAACATAAGGAGGACTTTTACAAAAAAGTAATAGAGATTTTTGTTCAGAAGGATAGGCAAATGGACTTCATCTTCATGTCAAGGTAAGACTGCAATTTGATTGAACATGGGATCTTACTAAGAGAGAACAATTCAATATTTAAATGATACAATTACATTTTTTGGGTATCCTTTTGTTGAACTGTCTGTTTAAAATTAATTGAAGCATCAGACAAAAAAAGCTTTTGAAAATAATATGATATTTTGATTTAGGTCAAAATATAATATTTGTAAACCTGAAGAGTCAGAGCCTCACCAGCCATGAACCTCACTGCAGAAGCTTATATATAGACATCTAAGTTTTTTGTGCCCCACCACTTTTGTACATATAAAAACGCCACTGCGCAGCATGTAATGCTCCTCTCCAAGGCTGATTAGATTAGGTGTGTGTGTGTGAGGGAGAGAAGCTGTTGCAGCTCCCAGCCGAGCATGGCAGTGGGCTGCCATAGCCCCCACCTCCTTAGGACTACTGCCTGGAGTGACAGCTAGTGTGACGTGAGGGGTAGTTTTTACAGCTAGAAGAGGCTGCTGTGGGGGTGTGAGCCTAAGAGGCAACGCACATCCTTGTGGTCCTAAAAATAAAAACTGCTCGCATTCCAACTGATCTGAGCTGTTGCAAAAAACTCTTACTGATAGTGCATAGTCATCTGACGGGTTAAAAGCAGCTGTGCAGTGACAATTCAACACAGGCCGCATAAGAGACATGAAGGAAGCACACACAGGGGAAATGCTAGCAATTTTCTGAATCCCTATTGTGGAGAAAACAGAAATCATGTTGAAATCTGACAATGACCAACAATAAAGGTTGTCTTGAGATGATTGAATGAATTGGACAGCTTGATAGACTTTGCTGTCAGGAATAGTCAAAAACAATCCATCTGGAGTGCAATGTATTGTTGCCTGTAACTTACAAAGTAAGTCTCTGCCCATTAGATTAATAGGACTTCCATCTGAAATAATGAAAGAGTGTTGCACATTTGACCCATCGATTGAAACATTAGTACTCTCTGAAATGGGCTCGGATCTAGGAATGCCAGAAACGCCCATTGTTGTAACAAAATCATTAGTTGCTTCACACACTTTCTCCTTAGTACGTACTGCAGACAATGTGGCTCCACTGTCAATCAAAAATATCTACAGCCGTACCACTAAAATCAACGGGCATAATCGGATCTTCACGCGGGTTATTGGAAAGGCGAATTGTTGCTGCTTGAATGGGGAAATGCTGTGAATCTGATCCTATTTCTCCATGGTACCCCTATCTTCTATTAAATCCACTTTGCTGACCGTTTTGCCCATGTTGAGCCTGTCTGTCATAGTGTGGGGGCGGCAATAATGCGGGATGCCGGGGGGACTGGGGGAGAGCAGGCAAGGATTGTGTGTTCTGCTGAGCTCCCCACCTCTTTTCGCACTGCCCCGCCCAGTGGTCCGTTGCACCGCAAACATGACATGGCATCAACTTTTTGGAATTTTTGTTCTGCTGCTGTCTGCTCTTGTCTTGATAACCCTGTGATCTTCCCTGATTTTGATACTGCTGTGTGCGGTTTTGTCCCTGAAACTGCTGGGAGTTATCCGCACCCTGATAAGCCTGTGTAACACATGTCATCATTGTGGTTTCAAAATAAATCATTTTCCACTGTCGTTTCCAGGCTTGAAGCCAAGGGTGCAGTCAATAAAAATGAAAAGGAAAAACAATAAAAACAATAAACAGTCTGTCGTCTGCCCCTCTTTTGAGAGCGGCTACGGCCTCTCTCAAAAGGCGGACAATAGGCGGGATTGTGAAGGCACCACCGCCACGCGCATGCGCAGCGTCGGCCGGGGTTGTCAACCTGGGGTACCATCGTGTTCAGACACTAGAGGGCCCCATAACACAACAAATAGAGACACTGAGGGCAGACGACAGAGCTGTGACATCTCCGCTCGCTTTGAGAAGCGAAAAGTGGAGGATGCTCACAGATTCTGCTTGGGTTTTCAAGACAGTAACACGGGGCTACAGGCTCCAATTCGCTGTCACCCCCCCTCACTTCTCGGGAATTCTGTATTCACAGGCCCGGGGAGAGTCGGCCCATATTCTAGAGCAAGAGATTTTCTCGCTACTAGAAAAGAAGGCTATATCGATAATACCCGCCGAACAGAGTCAGAGCGGCTTTTATTCCAAATATTTCCTCGTTCCCAAACGGGGAGGGAACGGAATTCGGCCTATAATAGATTTGAAAGCTCTGAACAAATATCTCAAAAGATACAAATTCAGAATGCTCACTCACACATCGCTGTTGCGTCTCGTGCGCCAAAACGACTGGTTCACATCAGTCGACCTGAAAGATGCGTATTTCCACATCCCAGTATATTACCCACACAGGAAATATCTGAGGTTCGCCTTTCAGGGTGTCTGTTACGAGTACAGGGTCTGTCTCTCAGCCCGCGAGTGTTTGTACGGTGTACGGAAGCCGCGATAGCCCCATTAAGACAACAGGGTATTCGCCTGGCAACTTATCTGGACGATTGGCTCCTTCTCGCACAGTCGGAGCAAGAGGCTATTACGCAGACGAATGTCCTCGTAAAACACCTGCTCGACCTGGGTTTTGTAATAAACACAGAAAAGAGCGTTGTCTCCAGCCCAGACTGTACTCTTCCTGGGCCTACGCCTGAATTCGGAGCCCTTTACAGCCCGCTTGTGAGCAGAGAGAGTGAAAGCCTTCAGGGCTTGCCTCGCTCATTTTCCAGCCACGCAAATATGTTCTCTTCAGGTCATGTCTGCGGTTGCTGGGGCTCATGGCGTCAGCCATTCTGGTGGTACGACTGGGACGCTTACACATGAGGGAGTTTCAGCGCTGGGTAGCTGCCCTCAGATTGGACCCCGCGCGTCATGGCGCGCGGAGAGTGATGGTCACTATGAAATGCGTAATGGCTCTGCGCCACTGGCTACACCCGACTTTTCTAGTACGGGGCGTGCCTATGGGTGCTGTCCTATCGCGGAAGGTGGTCACCACAGACGCATGTCTGACGGGCTGGGGGGGTATATACGAAGGTCGACCTGTGAGGGGTCTCTGGAGCAGAGACCTCCAACTTGTCACACATAAATTATCTGGAGCTTTTAGCGGTGTTCCTCACCCTGAAACGCTTTCTGCCTTTTCTCAGAGGACATCATGTCCTCGTGAGGACAGACAACACAACCACAATATCGTATATAAACCGCCAAGGGGGTTTGCGTTCTCTCCAGTTACACATGCTGGCACGCAAACTGATCTTATGGAGCTGCGGACGTACCAGGAGTGATGAACCTCGGGGCGGATCTGCTGTCCAGAGGTGCACCACTATATGCAGACTGGACTCTACATCCAATGATTGTGAGTCAGCTGTGGGTGCGTTACGGCCGAGCCACGGTAGATCTGTTCGCATCAAAAGAAAATGCTCAATGTCAGCTGTTCTTTTCAATGCGCGATTTAAACGCACCGTTAGGCGTGGAAGCGCTCGCGCACGTTTGGCCTCCGGTCCTTCTGTACGCGTTCCCACCCCTGGCTCTGATATCCCCAACTCTAGCCAGAGTGAGAGAACAACGCCACACACTTATCCTGATAGCTCCGCACTGGCCTGCAATGTACTGGCTGGCGGAGATATATCAGCTGCTGTGCGGGCAGACGTGGCAGCTCCCACTACGCAGGGACATACTGTCTCAGGCGGGGGGGGGGGGGGGGGGCGATCATTCACCCACACCCAGAGCGCTTGGCACTATGGGCCTGGCCCGTGAGTGGTACAATCTGAATACAGTGGGGCTCCCTCAGAAGGTGATAAACACTATTCAGAGTGCAAGAGCTTCCTCCACCAGGTCTCTCTATGACTGCAAGTGGAGGGTGTTTGAGGAGTGGTGCCTTCAAAAAGGACACATCTCTTTTCAATGTCCTGTCGGGGTGATTTTATCATTTCTACAGGACTTAATTGATAAACACAGAGCTTTCTCTACGATTAAAGTGTACCTGGCTGCTATTGCTGCATGCCATGTGGGCTTTGAGGGAAAGACGGCTAGCCAACACCCTTTGGTCTGCCGTTTTATGAAAGGGGCTCGCAGGCTCCTCCCTGTTTCCAGGTCACTGGTGCCATTATGGGACTTGGCAGTGGTTTTAGATGGGCTCACTCGACCTCCATTTGAACCCCTGGAAGAAGCTGACATGAAACACCTGTCACTGAAGACAGTGCTTTTACTGGCTCTGGCATCTGCCAAGCGAGTCAGTGACATTCATGCGCTCTCTGTACATCCTTCATGCACTCAGTTTGCCCCGGGGCAAACAAGAGTGTTTCTGAAGCCCAACCCTGCCTTTATACCTAAGGTGGTTGGCTCATGTACCCCCATTGACATTGTGGCATTTCCTCCGCCGCTGTGTTCCTCTGAGGAACAGCGGCCGAATTTTCTGTGTCCAGTTCGTGCTTTACGCATCTATATGGACAGGTCAAAAGAGTTTCGTTGTAATGACCAACTCTTTGTATCCTGGGCTAACCCTCAGAAGGGCAAGCCCGTTACCAGGCAACGGCTCTCCCACTGGATTGTGGAAGCGATTGCTCTGGCTTATACGAGTCAGGGTTTGCAGGCACCAATGGGCCTGCGTGGTCATTCTACTCGTGGACTGGCTACATCCTGGGCTTTGTTCAAGGGTGTTTCCATCCAAGACATTTGTGCAGCAGCGAGCTGGTCCTCGCCACTCACTTTTGTCCGCTTTTACAGGCTAGATGTCTCTGCTCCAAGTGTGGCCCGTGCAGTGCTGGGTCCAAGCGGCAAACTGTGGGGTAGAGCCGGGAAGCCAATACGGAAGTGCCACACACTGCAGTTCATATATTGGCCGATAGGCGATGGCTGCAGAAAGGAGCAATTTCCATAGACCCCCATGTTAAAATGTCCAACTTTACAGCAGAAAAAAACATGTTTCTACCCATGGCTCCATACATTTTTATTATCGATATAGTTAGATTCCACCTTCATGATTATGGATCTGTGAGTGAATTGTTTTCTAACGCGACCCTTTTACTTATATTAGGTCTTAAAGTTTGTGCATAAATTAGGGCGTGGTCACATTGAGTGACGGCTCTGTCAAGTCCCTGCCGCTGTTAGCTTCTTGTCTCTCTGCTAGCTGCTCCGTAAAGCTAGCTACAGGGACTCTGCCTGCTCAGCTCATCCAGGAAACACAACTTGTAGCCGGCCGTGGTTGTTTGTTCTTCATGCTTATATATCGGACTATTGTGACTCGCTCTGCTATTAAAACAGACGGTGCATGAATGCGGTAAGTGAAATTCGAGTGCTTTATTTATGTGTTAATGATTTTAATCAGCTACGTAATGAATGGTAAGGCTTGGGTTAGCATGTAAGCTAGTGGTAGCTACATCGGTGCTAACGATTGTAATCGTAGCCTCCAAGTTAAAATCATAGACTGTACATATAAAGGTATACAGTGTTAAGTGGGATAATACTGTTGAACAAACGGCTTCTGTTTGAGGTTGATAAAATAAGGTTACATCCTTGTAACTTAGAGATATTTTATTATGTAGGTAGAACTGTATGCATCTAAGGTTAATTTAAATTGGCTATGCTCAAGTATGTAGACAAGCTAATGTCGAAATAGTGTATGTGAAATCAACCTCACAATAAGATGTGTGTATATTACAATTATTAATGTCATATTTCAAGATGATTACTTAGATATTACAATATGGTTGGTTGAGCTGGAGTTCATTATTGAGCTTACACGTTAACGTCACAGTCATCTGAAGAACGAACCCAAACCTTGTTGTTTTTATTAATTGCATTACCAAATGGGTATCAAATAAACAGTAAGCATTGGTAACACAACTTCCAAAGTTACAGTAAAATAAAAAGGCCCCTGACTCGGACAATACACAATCCAACATGTTCAACAGAAGAGAATCAGTTATATTGTTTGTACACATGGTACTTTACATATATATCTGTTTGTTTAAGGTGTCCAGGTGATGCAGACAGGCTGGACCAGAGAGTGAGAGACAGAACTGGACTCCTCACAGCAGTGAACTTCAGCACAGGTACAAAGACTCTTTTTTCATACTGTACAAAGAATCAAGAAAGATATTGGTTTAAATGAATGAAGTATTGACTTGAATACACTGATATACATTCCATTAAACAATACTAAATACTAGATCACCTACACATCAGTTAAGTTGAGGGTTTTTTCCATCCAAAAAGTTACATTTAGATGATAACAAGCAATATGACTGTCAGCTTTCTAATTTAATGTATTGAAGGCAAAGATATTTAACTCATAGTGAGAACTGCTACTATTTATCTCTCAATATTGTCTGTAAAAAACGTGGTAAAAGTGATTCTTTCAGTGAGACAACAGAGCAAGCTTCTACAGTTGCACTACGTTTTGATAACAGTTAAATATTATTTTGATAATAACATATATTTCAATGTTGATGAACTTCATACTTTTCATTCATAATCTGATTGTCTTTGTAGCTCATTGTTGAAATAAAAAAAAAACATTACAATTACAAAATCATTATATCTACAGCCCCTAAACACACAAACACACCGCTTTCATAAATAACACACTTGTTCTGCAATAATATGTTTTATGTTTCCTGTCATTTTTGTTAGGAAAGGACATGCCTGAAAGACACGACATTTTCTCCTTCTCTGAGGGTCAAGAAGAACATCCAAGAGGAACATTAAAAGCTGATGTTATGAGATTTTAAGACCAGTACAGGACATTCACTAAGAAACTACTTTTATTGTGAAAACACAGTCAGCTGATCGAATGCAGCTATTTTCACATCTACACTCCATCAGCTGATTATTTCTATTTGCCTCACTTTATGAGCTTCACAACATGTACCTTGTTTTGCAAAGTCACAAATAAATGGGGCCAATCTTCAGTCAGATGTGAATGTGTAATCTAACATTTTCAGTAAGAATAATGGACAAAAGGAGAGCAAATACAATTTATTGAAATGTGAACCAAAAGTTAATCAAATGTTTTAAATAAAAAGCACATATGGACAGAAGGTGTAAACCTATTAAATGTATTAAACACATTTAGTCAAATAAAGTGACCAACTAGGCCTGTGCAGTTGGTATCAGCTTTGCCCAGCATGGGCTCCTCCATCAGGCCTGGTCCTCCTCGCAGAGGAAAGACCCTCAGTCCTCTCCAAACCAACAGACAGGACGTCCATCACACGGAGGTTTCTCCCTGAAGTCTCTGCTGCTCTCTGGACACCATGCTGTCTCAATCCGTCCACACTGAATATGAGAGGGAGAAAATGAAAATAATAAATGCTTTAGACAATAAGAAACATAAAGTTGACTGTTGAGTTGCTCAGTTTTTTTAGATTGTCAATACTATTACTGTATAACTAATATCTCAGGTTAAGAGGCACATTCAAATAAAGATTGGTCTTTAAATACATTTTGTCTTTTGAATTGTTTGTCTAAAGTCAAGGATCTATAACTGGTACTTAGTTTTAATGATACAGTCTGGTTATTATGCTGTTTGGAGGAGGCCTCACAGGTAAGAGCACTAACTAGCTACCATCACATGTACCTTAGCTTGACTTAAATGTATAGTTAAGTGATATCAAAATATAAATAACTAATGTCATGCAAAATGACTATATTTACTATCCATTTAGAATTTGCTTGATTCCAGTGTTGAATTTAGCACAATTGCATACAAACGTTAAGGGGTTTTAAGATTCTGAAGTATTATGTTAAAACTCAATAACTTAGATTATTATTTATAGTTTTGCTGAATAGTTCCATGTCCGCTTACCTTAGAAACGTAAAATGCGACGGCAGCGTGCAGATGGGGAGCATGTTAGCTTAGTTTGGTAGCTTCAGCTAGCTCTGGAACTTCCAGCTCGGTGGCAGCAGGTCCCGCCTCGGCTCCGCCTCTTTGCCCTTATTTGGAGAAGGCGGGAGTTGAACTCTGACGTCACTGTCGAGCCGTTAGTGGCCGACTCCGCCTACTAAGGGCTTCACGGCAACTCTGCAGAATCTTATGGACCCTACGTCCATTTATATATACAGTCTATGGCTGGGTCCCGTGTTGAGACAGGGTTCTACCTGTTAAGTTCGGGTTGTTTTTGGTGATTTTCGAGATAAGCACGTCTAGCAATACGGGAGTTTCAATATCCCATAGTGAGACATCGAACGGAGTGTTATAAATGAGAACTATAGGTTACTTGCGTAACCCCAGTTCTCAGAGTAACATGAAGTGAGATGTCTCACCAGACGGCCCTTCTTGCTAAGGCGAAGCGAGAAGAGGTGCTTATTTTTGAATGACGCTGCGTCGTAGCGCAAGCTACTTAAAGGGTGGGTGGATTCCCTGACGTTGACGTTAAGATCACCAGCCAATCAGGATTGGCGTAATGAGATTGATGCTTCTGTTTGCATACGCGTTGAGGCACATCCCATAGTGAGACATCTCACTTCATGTTACTCTGAGAACTGGGGTTACGTAAGTAACCTATAGTTTGTTTATATCACGTAGTCTGTTCTTCTTCTCTGTTTTCCGGTTGTTGCCTGTTTTGAATGACGAATACACACTACCGCCGCCTGCTGGTAAGGAGAGTTATTGCCACTGACGCATGCGCAGTTCGTACGTGCTCGGCTGAAGTCTTTGCGGTGTGCTCCAGTCTGGTTCCAGTGCAACACATGGCCGAAACGCAGGAGAACACGCAGACGGAACAGCGTGAGCAGAGATAGACTGCGCAAAATATACAGATAGCAGGAGACAGAGGACAGCCATGGTCAGATAGGAAAACATTCAGGATCTGGATCAGTCTTATGCGACTTAGGAAACTGAACTAAAGAGAACATTGAAACTTTAGCAGTCTGCGTGATCTGCCTGCAGGGAGGGGCGGCCCGGCCCTGTGAGTAAAGTAACGAGTAGAGTATACAAGTTACTTTATGTAGAGAGTAACGAAGTAGTGTAATATATTACTTTTTTTTAAAAAGTAATATGTAATATGTAATATATTACTTTTTTTTAGTAACGACCCCATCTCTGATGACGACTTATATATTTACTTTCACTCTCATAATAACGTAACACAATCAGAGACTGGATATATCCCCCCCCCCCCTCTCTCTGGTTGAAATGGGGAATTGAAATTACGGGCCAAAAGTTGTATTTACAAGTACTATTAAAAGTAAGCAGAGGACACCAAACCAACTGAGACCCGTCTGTCCGTCGCATCTACGCACTGTACAACACACACACCTGCACACACTGTACAACACGCACCTACACACTGTACCACGCACACACCTACACACTGTACCACACACACCTACAGCTCCTAAAGCATAATCAGGCTACAACCGTTGTGTATTTTATTATGTGAAGCACTAAATGGTCTTAGAAAAATATCGACTCTTTGTTTGTAGTTATCTTCTACTAAACTAAAGCAAATAAAGAGAGTAGGCCTGTTATAGTTTGTGCTCGGGCGGCAGACACCCTATCCGTTTTTAAGAGTGCGCTTAAGACCTTCCTTTTTGATAAAGCTTATAGTTAGGGCTGATTAGATTCAGCCCCTAGTTTTGCTGATATAGGCTTAGTTTGTCGGGGGACATCTTACTTCTTCCTTCTCTCTGTCTATACCTGTGTACTCTCATGTTCCGATTAACCCAGCTTCCCCAAATGTATTTCTTTTTGGTGTCTATATACGCCGGGATCCGGAGTCATGGATGATCCTGCGCTCCTGTGTCCTGCATCGCGAGCCCTGGATCTTGAATCGTGGCTGTGGTCCTGGATCATAGGTCCTGGATGTATATACTCGTGGATTCATCTTCCTATTATACACACATGCATTTCCAAACATTTGGACTACCTATGTTGCAAATGTATTATCTTTTCAATTTACAC